CACTTGGGCCATCTTCTACTGTTTTCTCAGGCCATAGCAAAGAGCTGGATTGGAAGAGGAGCAGCCAGGACTAGAACCAGCGCCCATATGGAATGCCGGAGCTTCAGGCCAGGGCTTTAACCCACTGCACCACAGCACCGGCCCCCAAATAAATCTTTTTTTAAAGAAAAAAAAGTAGGGGCTGGTGCTGTGGCATGGCGGGTGGGGCCGCCGCCTGCAGTGCCAACATCCCATGTGGGCACCAGTTTGATTCTCAGCTGCTCCACTTCAGATCCAGCTCTCTGCTATGGCCTGGGAAGGCAGTGGAGAATGGCCCAAGTCCTTGGGCCCCTGCACCTGCGTGGGAGACCTGGAGGAGGCTCCTGGCTCCTGGCTTCAGATCTGTGTGGCTCCTGCCATTTCAACTAATTGGGGTGTGAACCAGCGGATGGAAGACCTCTCTCTCTCTCTCTCTGCCTCTCCTCTCTCTGTGTAACTCTCACTTTTAAATAAATAAAGAAATCTTTAAAAAAAAAAAAAAGAAAAAGAAAAGTAAACACATTTACTGTTTGACACAGGATTGCATTTCTGGTCATTTGTTCATGAAATGACCATAAAGACCATATATCTGAAATGTACACCTCAGTTGACATAAACTATAAATATTCCACTTAGGTCAATATACAGGGCAAATCCAGCATCTTCTTAGATAATGCCTTCCATCTGAGTATCACCATGGAATAGGTCTGTTTTGGGATTTCGCATACGTGGAAACAAGCTTCATTTGCTCAATATCACATCTGTAAGTGCTCTCTATCTTATGTATAGCAATAGTTCAGTCTTTTCGATTTGCTGTGTAACGTTCTGGTATATGGATATACCACAATTTATTTATTTTCTGGTTCATTCCCCAAATGGCCACAACTGTGCTGTTGGAGGCCAAAGTCAGGAGCCTAGAACATCTGGGTCTCCCACGTGGATGGAAAGAGCCCAAGTGCTTGGGCCATCTTCCACTTCCTTCCCAGGCACAATAGCAGGGAGCTGGATTGGAAACAGAACAGCTGGAACTCAAACTGGCACTCAGATACAGGATGCTGGCGTTGCAGGCTGTAGCTTAGCTTATCATACCACAATGCCAGCCCCTTTATTGCATTTCAAGTCTCATCTTTGATTGCTTTGGCAGGACCAGACCAAATAATTTCCCAGGCACATGCTACGGGCAGAAGATTAGCCAAGTGAGCCACAGCGCTGGCCCCCATGGTATATTTTCATTACAGACTTGGCTTACCCTTAGTGTGGCCATGAAACTAGGCCTCAGTAGCAAGTAGGATAGAGGTTTGCAAAAATTTTAACAGAGATCAACTGCTAAGCTTGCTTTGCAAACCATGTACCACTTGTTATCTTTGTAACTTTGAGCTTTATGGAATCTGTAACTACCTGATGGCTGTTACGCAGCGCTCCCAGGTCTCAGTTCCTGGAGCCTTGATGGTACCACTGAGTAACACCTCCTCCCCTGTCCTTTCTGCCCAGCAATATCCACCCCATTGTCCCCTCCTCATCCTGCCCCAGGCCCTGTGTAGGGTTTAAATTGTACCTCCCAAGTTTCTCAACCAATTTGAAGCTGGGGGAAGGGACCTCTGCATGGTACAGATAAAAGGAGCTGAATTTCTGAGTGGTATCTGCTTCTACCAGCTGATCACCTCTCTCAGGACTGAATATCAGGGCCGGTGTGCTGCGGCGCAGTGGGTAAAGCCGCTGCCTGCAGAACCGTCATCTCATATGGGCACCAGTTCTAGTCCCGGCTGCTCCACTTCCAATCCAGCTCTCTGCTATGGCCTGGGAAAGCAGTGGAAGATAACCTGAGTGCTTGGGCCCCTGCCCCCACGTGGGAGACCCGGAAGAAGCTCCTGGCTCCTGGCTCCAGATCAACACAGCTCTGGCTATTGCAGCTATCTGAGGAGGGAACCAACAGATGGAAGACCTCTCTCTCTCTGCCTCTACCTCTCTCTAACTCTACCTTTCAAATAAATAAATAAATCTTAAAAAAAAGAAGACTCAGTCTCCATAAATCTGTCATTTTCTGCTTCCTTCAGTGCTTCTGCATATATCTGTGGGGAGCAACTCGGACTAGACTAAGTTACTGGAATTAAGACTTATTCTATGCATCTGCTCTCCCACAATATGGCGCTGGGAGAGGAGGAAACAGCTTCTACACAGCTGCCTCCAGTTCAACCAATAAACAGCAGGACCTGCTCCTGATTGGAGGAGAGCAGCGTACTCGGCGTGTGGGTAGCAGAGTTGGGATTGGCGGAAGAGGACTATAAAGGAGGAGAGAGACAACATGCACCAGGAACACCTGAGGAACACCTGTGCAGCCCCCGAGAGAGCCGGCTGGCGGTGTGCCGCTCCCCCGCGGAAGTGGGGAAAGTGGCAGGGGGAACCGCCCTTCCACGGAGGTGGAAGGGTCAGTAGCCAACCCGGGAAGAACCAGCAGCAAACCCGGGGAGGGCCGAGCAGACAAAAGAACAGCGCAGGGTCCTGTGTCGTTCCTCCACGAAGACGGGGAGCGACAATATCTTTTGCTGGGTAGGTGGTCTCAGGTGGGCTTATTTCCTACAGAAGTATACTGTATTTTTAAAAAAGCACATAAAGCTCTTAAGAGCATTTTTAAAACTAGTTATTATTGGTTACTTCTGAACTGATGTGTATCATATTACACATATTTCCTTTTCCTAAATTACCTGCAATAAACAGTATTTTCCAAGATAATTTTGCTTAAAAAAAAAAAAAACATCCTTTCTCGGTGTTGCTGACCTCCCCACAGGAGCACGCCTCTCACCAGGATCTCCTCCATCTTTCTCCAGAATTGGAGAAGCGGCAAATGGTGCAGAGCCCCAGGTCCTACTTCATGGATGTGAAGTATCCAGGAAGCTATAAAATCACCAGTCTTTAGCTGTGCACCAACGGTAGCTTTGTGTGTTGGCTGCTCCACTGTGCCCTGATAGCCTACAGGAGGAGGAACAAGGTGTGCAGAGGATAATCCTTTAGAAGGAAGCAGCAGGTTGAGTCACCACCTGCAATGCTGGCATTCCATATGAGCACTGGTTCTAGTCCTGGCTGCTCTACTCCTGATCCAGCTCCCTGCTAATGTGTAGCAGATGTCCCAAGTGTTGCTATGGAGTCAGTCTGAGAGGAGCATGGTGGGGGCAAGAGGCGCAGAATCAAGAGTCAGGTAAAAGTGGGCTAGAGGCGAGCAGCTCACAGACTTGTTCATTTGGTACAGTAGCTTATATAGCCAAGGCAGCCAATCTGGTCAAGGGGCGTTTTGTGCCACAACCAATCACATGCAGGCTCCGTTGCCAGATGGGTTCTGAAGCCATTCCTGAGTAACTGGAGCTCCCTTGCCAGCGGCCATCTTGGCACAGCCTTCTCATTCCGCCACAGCCCAAGTGTTTGGATCCCTGCCACCCTCAGGAGAGACCTGGGTGAACTTCCTGGCTCCGGCCTGGCCTACTTCCAGCAGTTTCAGCCACTAGGGGAATGAATTGGTGGATAGAAGATCTCAATCTCTGTCCCTCCCCTTTAACTATGCCTTTCAAATAAATAAATCCTACCAAAAAGAGGAAGAAGAGCAGCAGCACTAAAAGTACCTGTTTAGTGGGAAATAGTTCCAATAAACACATTTTGGACATATCATTTTTACTGTCTTATTGAACTACTAGGAATTTCCTGCCTCAAGTATTCAGGGATGGGGCTGGTATTGTAGCATAGCAGATCAAGCCACCACCTTAGAGGCCCGCGTCCCACATGGGTGCTGGTTCAAGTCCCCACTGTTCCACTTCCCACCCAACTCCCTGCTACCAGCCTGGTAAAAGCAGTGGAAAATGGAGCAGGTGCGTCGGTTCCGGCACCCACATAGGAGACCTGGATGGAGCTCCCGGCTCTTGGATTTGGCTTGGTCCAACCTTGGCTATTGCAGCCATCTGGGGAGTGAACCAGTGGATGTAAGATCTCTCCCACCCACCCCAACCCCTTCTTTAACTCTTTCAAATAAATACTGTTTTTTCTACAAAAAAAAAAAAAAAATCCAGGGAGGAGAAGAGTGGAATACCATAGTCATTTGGGACAAATTAAATCTGGGAGTCCCAAATGCTCACCTGCACCAGACTTGGCTTTCGTAACTCACTGCATAGCCAACTGTGATAGCACCCACTGAAGGAAGTGAAGTGGACTACTCTTCCTAACAGGGTGGATGGCCAGGCCAGGCCAGGCAGTGAGGGGACAGTGCCTATGGCCAGAGATCACTAGAACTAGGGATCTGGGGAGACCTTGGAGAAAAGATAAAAGAACACCTGTTTGGGAAAAGAATATGCTCCATTTTCAAACACACAAGACGAGAATTAGAGATACAGATTCCTAGCTAGGGGCTGGCACTGTGGTGCAGGGGGTTAAGGCTCTGGCCAGCAGCTCCGGCCTCCCCTATGGGCCCCAGGTGGAGGCCCGGCTGCTCCACTTCTGATCCAGCTCCCTGATAACGCGACTGGGAAGGCAGCGGAGGATGACTCAGGTGCTTGGGCCCCTGCACCTGCATGGGAGACTCGGAAGAAACTCTGGTCGTTGTCGCCATTTGGGGCGTGAACCAGCAGATCTAAGATCTCTCTCTGTCTCTACCTCTCTCTGTAACTCTGCCTTTCAAATAAACAAAATAATAAACCTTTAGGATTCCTAGCTAGCCAGCTGGCACTAAAGTAATTCACCTTTCTTACCTCTTTAGACGTGTTTTAGGATAAGGGAAGAAAAGAGGCTGTGTAAATAAAACTTAAAAACGTCTCAGTAAAAGGCACCTGGATGGAAGCACTCTGTGAAAATCCCACAAGGTTAAAGGATTAGGAGAGCAATGGACAACACACACACACACACCCCCCACTCCCCCCCCCCGCCAAGTCCGGAGGGCGGTAACTAAAACCGAAGGACGCAGGCCAGTCGGCCCCGCCGCCCTCTGGGCCACCGTGCTCTTCCGCTCCCAGGAGGCCCCGCGGCGGAAGTCGTCACTCCCACAAGGCACCGAGCCGTGCGGCGCGCAGCCTGCAGGAGGCTCACTATGGCGATGGGCAGTGGCGGCGGCGGCGTTTCGGAGCCGGAGGACTCGGTGCTGTTCCGGCGCGGAACGGGCCAGGTGAGCTCGCGGCCGGCGCAGCGTCTCTGCGGGCTCTGAGGCCCGGGCCGCCGGGCGGGACCCACGCAGTCGCTCACCGGAAAGCAGTGGTCCACATGTTTTCTATTTCGTTTCCCTCTGCGCTCGCGGAGAGCTCCATTTACAGGCTCCTACCTCGCGCAGCTTCGGCGCCCTGATGGGTTTGAGCTGAGGCTCTGCCGCACCTCTGCAGCACCTCGGTTCGTCCGCTTGGCTCGGACTGGGAGGCGTGCGGGGCCAGGGCCACGTGAAGGAGGGAAAACACGTAGGAGTCTGTAGGAATCGTCCAGTCTTCAGCCGAGCAGTTAACAGTGGAATTCCACCGGGGATTGTGGATTCTGGGCACATTTTGGAATCAGAAGCAACAGGCTTTCTAGATACGTCCGATGAGGGAGGTTAGAGTCAAGGCTAATTTCAGGTGCTGTGCAGAGTATCTGGAAAACTCATGTCCTTTTAGGTGGCCACAGGAAGGAGGCATCCTCAGGAAAAGCCAGGTACCAGACTGACAAGGCAGGAGTTACTCAGATACAAGGTTGAAGATTGGAAGTTTTGCTAAGAGAGTGCGGTTGAAGTTTCAGGAGTTGAGAAGTGGGAGACGATGGCGGGACAACGTGAGGAGGAACTTGGGACACCTGGGCTGCTCGGGGTGACGAAAATTAGATGTAAAGGCTGTGCTGGTGGTCTGTTTGGACTGTTGTTGCAGTGTAACAGATGCCCTAAAACTTAGTGGTCTGAAGCTGTGATCATTCTATTCTCCGCCCCGCTGTCGGCGGTGAGGAGCGAGCAGTTCTAGGTCATCCCCTCCTGTGGTTGCTGGAGCTGCCACAGCTGGCGGCTGAGTTGCTGGGGATTGCAAGGGTGTCTGTTTCCTTCGTGTAGTCTCAGGGGTTCTGCCTGTGGTCTCCGTGTCTGGGCTGGTTTGCCTCTCTTTATAACTTGGTGGACTCGGCCTTTGTAATCCTTGCTTCCCATCCAGAGACCTCCCTCATCCCCAGAAAGGCACTGATCCACTTGCTGTCACCATAGATGAGCCTGCATTTTTCTACACTTTCATGAACATGGAGTCACAGGGTATTTATTTTGTCTGCTACTTTTACTGGGCATAGCTACTTTGTTTTGTATGTATGTGGTTGCTCAGTGTTTTTTTTTTTTTTTTTAAGATTTATTCATTTATTTGAAAGTCACATTTACAGAGAGAAAGAAGTCTTTGATCCATGGGTTCACTCCCTGGACAACCGCAACGGCCAGAGCTGGGCTGATCCAAAGCCACATGCCAGTAGCTTCTGGGTCTTCCATGTGGGTGCAGGGGCCTAAGGACTGGGCCATGTTCTGCTTTCCCAGGCCACAGCAGAGAGCTGGATCAGAAGTGGAGCAGCCGGGACTCAAATTGGTGCCCATATGGGATGCCGGCATTGCAGGCGGCAGCTTTACCCACTACGCCACCGCGCTGGCCGTTTTATTGTTGAGTGGTATTCTATTGCTTGTATATATTATACTTTGTCCATTTGCTTGTTCATGAACCTTCGGGTTTTTCCAGTTTGGGGCAGTTAGAAATAGAGCTGTTTGGGGTATTAGAGTATGACACTTTATTATGACATGTGCTTTTATTTTACTTCAGAAAATACTTAGGTCATAGGGTAGAGAGAGACAGAGCTCTTCCATCTGTTGATTCACTCTGCAGATGCCTAAAATAGCTGGTGATGGGCTATGACAAAGCCGGGGGCTCAGAACTCAGTCTGAGTGTCTGACAGGAGTGACAGGGATCACCTCCTGACTCCCAGGGTGCACATTAGCAGGAATGCCAGCATCAGGACCAGAGCTGTGACTCGAACCCAGGCATTCTAGTATGGGATGCAGGCATCACAAGCTGTGTGTTAACATCTGCACCAAATTCCTTCTCACCCCAAGTATCTTGTTTCACTTTTATTTTTTTTTAAAGATTTATTTATTTATTTGAAAGGCAGAGTTGCAGAGAGAGAGAGATATCCTTCATCTGCCTGCTAACTCTCCAAATGGCTGCAGTGGGTGAGCTGAGCTGATCCAGAGCCAGGAGCCAGGAGCCAGGAGCCTCTTCCAGTTCTCTTATGCGGGTGCAGGGGCCCAAGCACTTGGGCCATCCTCCACTGCTCTCCCAGGCCATAACAGAGAGCTGGATCGAAAGTGGAGCAGCCAGTTCTTGAATCAGTGCCCATATGGGATGGCAGAACTGCAGGTGGGCGGCTCCACCCACCCAAAGTATTTTAAGTATATAAGAAGTTACCATACTCTTCCTCAAAGCAGGTGCACCATTTTACATTTCAACCAGCAGTGTATAAAAGTTCCAATTGCTTTACATCCTTGAGATCTGGTATGGTCAGTCTTTTTAAGTTTTTTAAGTTTAGAAATTGTAATATGTGACTAACTGTTTCTTTTTGTTTTAAACATTTACTTATTTGGAATGCAGAGCATCAGAAAAAGGAAAGACAGATATCTTCTATCCTCTGGCTCACTCACCAAATGGCAGCAAAATCCACAGTTGGTCCAGGCTGAAGTCAGCAGCCAAAACTCTGTCTGGGTCTCTGACATGAGCGTTTAGACCATCACCCATTGTCTTCCCACACACATTAGAATCCTGGCAGAGAGCTGGATCCAAAGCAGAGGTGCCAGGACTCAAACTAGCAGTCCAATGTGGAATCAGGTGTCCCAAGCAGCCACCTAACCTGTTGGACCACAATTCCTGCACTTAAACTAAACCTAAACTAATCTAGTCACAGAGAGGTTGAAGTGTGGGTTAACGTCAAAAAAACATATCTACTGGCCGGCGCCGCGGCTCACTAAGCTAATCCTCCGCCTTGCAGCGCCGGCACACCAGGTTCTAGTCCTGGTCAGGGCGCCAGATTCTGTCCCGGTTGCCCCTCTTCCAGGCCAGCTCTCTGCTGTGGCCCGGGAATGCAGTGGAGGATGGCCCAAGTGCTTGGGCCCTGCACCCCATGGGAGACCAGGAAAAGTACCTGGCTCCTGCCTTTGGATCAGCGCAGTGCGCCGGCCGCAGCGTGCCGGCCGCAGCGGCCATTGGAGGGTGAACCAACGGCAAAGGAAGACCTTTCTCTCTGTCTCTCTTTCTCACTGTCCACTCTGCCTGTCAAAAAAAAATAATAATAAATAAATAAATAAATAAAACATCTGCTTACAGTTGGTGAATAGGAATTAAATCATGGATTTACTTTGTGACGTATCTCTTAGAACATTTATGTATGTTTAGCTTTGGGAGTAACTTCTTAGCAAGCAGACTTCCTGTGATTTTACTTAGGATCTGTGACACCCATTTTCAGTGTTATTTGGCGATGTCTGGATTAGGATGGCTCTTGATACTATCTACATAAGTTTTTGATCAAACACGTGAACATGAATTGTTTTTATTTCTTACCCTTCCCAGAGTGATGATTCTGACATTTGGGATGATACAGCATTGATAAAAGCTTATGACAAAGCTGTAGCGTCATTTAAGGTATGTAATACTTATTCACTCTTTTTCTTACTTCAGGTTATTCACAAGAAAATTTAATAACATACAGCAGAATATTGAAGTTCAAATGTTCAATAATAATATGGGTTAATATAATCACATGATTTTTTTTTTTTAAGGTTTATTTACTTATTTGACAGAGCAACAGAAAGAGAAGGAGAGATAGAAAGATCTTCTGTGTACTGGTTCACTCCCCAAGTGGCTACAACAGCCAGGTCCAGGCTAGGCTGAATCCAGGAGTCAGGAACTCCATCTGGGTCTCCCACATACACAACAGGAGCCCAAGCCATGACCCAAGCCATAGCCAATCATCTGCTACTTTCCCAGAACATTAACAGGGAGCTGGATGGGAAGGAATAGTCAGAACTTAAGCTGGCGTTGCACGCCGTGGCTTGGCCCACTTGGTCACAATGCCAGCTCCTACACAATGTATTCTCTTAGGTGTTGATAGCCTATGTGGAATGCTATTCCTTTTGCAGAGGCAATTTAAATGAAATTTTAAACATTTATCCCTCTTAATGTTTTTATACTGTATTAAACTATAGAGGTCTTTTATACCAAATTAGTAGGAAAAAGTGAATTACAATTTTTAAAAAATATTTATTTATTTATTTGAAAGGCAGAGTGAGAGAGAGATAGAGAGATATCTTCCATCCACTGGTTCACTCCCCAAATGGCCGCAAAGGCTGGAGCTGAGCTGGTCTGAAGCCAGGAGCTTCCAGGTCTGCCACATGGCTCCAGGGACCAAGCACTTGGGCTTTTTCAGGTGCATTAACAGAGAACTGGATCGGAAGAGAAAAGGAGCATTCCAGACTTGAACCGGTGCCCAAATGGGATGCCAGTGTCACAGGCAGTGGCTTTATGCACTGCACTACAACGCCAACCCCTGATTTACAGTTTTAAGCTTTTTTAAAAAAATGTGTATTTTATTTGAAAGTCAGTGTTACAGAGACAGAGATCTTCCAGCTGCTGGGTCACTCCCCAGGTGGCTGTGACAGCAAGGCCAGATGGAAGCAAGGAGCATCATCCAGGTCTCCCACGTGTGTGACAGGGGTGCAAACACTTGGGCCATCATCTGCTGCTTTTGCCAGGCCGTTAGCAGGGAGCTGGATCAGAAGTGGAGCAGCTGAAACAGAAACCGGCGCCCACATGGGATGTTAGCATCGCAAGCAGCAACTTTACCTGCTATGCCACAATGCCAGCCCCTACAGTTTTAAGCATTCAGTAAGCCTTTAGTGAAATACTCATGATGATGATAAATAGTAGTAGTGTAGTAATAGTATCTGCAGAATGTTGATGCTCAGGCACTGTTCTAAGTACTTTACACATACTCAGTTAATTTACAACTCCCAATCCTCCACTGGGTACCAAGTCCAGTGTTCCTGATAATAAGAATATGCAGTGCCTTCAGGAGCTGTATTCTAGTTCTGTGGCCAGAAAAGTTGTGCAGTGTCACCACTTTGCCACTCTCCGGGGTATTTTGCTTTGTTGAGCACCAGGTGTGGGTGGAGGGTAGTCCAGGCTAGGTTGACCACGCAGGGCAGACACTGATACAGAGCACCAAACGTGAGCACACAGGTCAGTAGTTCTTGTAGCAGGAGGATAGGGTCAGGCTTCAGTGTCACCTGTGCAGCTGAAGTCTCCATTTCTTTGCTATGCTTTTCATTTTACACTGAAGGTAGAAGTTGGCTGAGGAAGGGTTAACGTAAGAGTTCAATCTAAAATACAGATTGAAATGGGCTTACAAATGGTATTGCAGGGAGAAGTAGTTTGAATAAAGGAGGGAAAAACTGATTTGGGAGCAAGAGTTTTAGTCATGCTGAATATGATTATGAAGGTGTGAAATTGATCATTGGAAATGTTAGATTGGACTGAGAAGAATCAGAGCTGATTAGTAGCTTTGGAAGTGTGTTTGCATAGAGATTGTAATTGAAGTAATGGAAGTAGGTGAATTAAGCAGTTAAAGCAAGGGTCGGTCTTGCCGGCAAAGCCTGCGTTCAGGACTTGGCCAGAGAAGTAGGAAAAGCGCTGGGGCCCTGCACTGCTATCAGTGAAGGTGATCAGCGCTCTGAGGTTACACGGAGACTAAAAGCCGGGAGGCCTGATAGCAGGGGCTGCAGAGCCGCTGCTCGATGTATGAGAGCAGTTTCCATAGGGCGGGGTGCCGAAAAGAGGAAGCAGAGGCCTTCTGAGGTGAGGGCACCCTGAGACCCGCTGAGTTACATTGTGGCTTTTTTTTTTTTTTTTTTTTTTAATTTTTTGACAGAGTGGACAGTGAGAGAGAGAGAGAGACAGAGAGAAAGGTCATCCTTTGCCATTGGTTCACCCTCCAATGGGCACTGTGGCCTGTGTGCTGCAGCCAGCGCACCGCGCCTATCCGAAGGCAGGAGCCAGGTGCTTCTCCTGGTCTCCCATGGGGTGCAGGGCCCAAGCACTTGGGCCATCCTCCACTGCACTCCCGGGCCACAGCAGAGAGCTGGCCTGGAAGAGGGGCAACCGGGACAGAATCCGGCGCCCCGACCGGGACTAGAACCTGGTGTGCCGGCGCCGCAAGGCGGAGGATTACCCTAGTGAGCCACGGGGCTGGCCCATTGTGGCTTTTTTAAAATAGCATGGCACTCTAACGTGTACATTTCTGTTCCCTTAATCTCCTTTTCACAGCATGCTCTGAAGAATGGTGACATTTGTGCAACTTCAGATAAACCTAAAGTCACACCTAAAAGAAAACCTGTTAAGAAGAATAAATGCCAAAAGAAGAAGACCACAACTGCCTTAAAACAGGTTTGTTTCTTTTCATTTATTTGAAAGACAGAGAAAAATCTTCCATCTGTTGCTTGATTTGGCACTTCCCAAATGCCTGCAGCAGCCAGGGCTGGGCTAGGGCCAGAACTCCATCTGCACTTGATCTTAGCCAAAAGGCTGAGAAGCGATCAGAACTCCATTGTCTCTCTCACAAGGCTGCCGGGAACCAAAGTACCTGAGCCATCACCTGCTGCCTCCCAGTTTGCATATTGCAGGAAGTTAGATCAGAAGCAGAGGTGAGGTGCCGGCACTGTGGTGTAGTAGGTAAACCTTCTGCCTGCAGTGCCATCATCCCATATGGGCACCAGTTCCAGTCCCAGCTGCTCCACTTCCGATCCAGCTCTCTGCTGTGGCCTGGGAAAGCAGTAGAAGATGGCCCAAATCCTTGAGACCCTGCACCTACGTGGGGGATCTGGAAGAAGCTCCTGGCTCCGGCTCCTAGCTTCAGAATGGCGCAGCTGCAGCTGTTGGGGCCATCTGGGGAGTGAACCAACCATTGTCTGTCTGTCTGTCTCTCTCTCTCTGCTTTTGCCTCTGCTTCTCTCTAACTCTGCCTTTCAAATAAATAAATCTTTTTTAAAAAAAGCAGAGGTGAGACTCAAACTGAGGCACTCCTGTATTAGACACTGGCTTCCCAGGTGGCATTTTTTTTTTTTTTTGGCAGGCAGAGTGAGACAGTGAGAGAGAGAGACAGAGAGAAAGGTCTTCCTTCCATTGGTTCACCCCCAAAATGGCCGCTACGGCCAGCACGCTGTGCCCCAATCCGAAGCCAGGAGCCAGGTGCTTCCTCCTGGTCTCCCATGCAGGTGCAGGGCCCAAGCACTTGGGCCATCCTCCAAGTGGCATCTTAACCACTGCTCCAAATGCCTGCCCTGAAACAGGCATTTAAACAGAGATTTAACTTTAAAGGATTTCTTGTTACTGTCTTTACCAAGTAGTATAATGTAAAAAAACTTAAATGGTTAGTACATGTATTCATAAAACTATAAAACTTTTTTTAAAAAAAGATTATTTATTTGAAAGGCAGAGTTACACAGAGAGAGAAGGAGAGGCAGAAAGCGAGAGAGCGAGGTCTTCCATCTGCTGGTTCACTCCCCAATTGGCCACAACAGACAGAGCTACACTGATCCAGAGCCAGGAGCTTCCTCTGGGTCTCCCATGTGGGTTCAGGGACCCCAGGACTTGGGCCATCTTCTATTGCTTTCCCAGACCATAGCAGAGAGCTGGATCAGAAGTCGAGCAGCCGGGACTCAAACCAGCGCCCATATGGGATGCCGGCACTGCAGGCAGAGGCTTTACCTGCTATGCCACAGCACCGGGCCCCATAAAACTTGAAAAAACAACTACTACTCTTACTACTAACCTTTCTGTTCTTTAGGAACATGCATGTTAGTAGTAATAAGGGTAAGGAATTGGGTGGGAATGATAAATCACTAGTCAGCAGTGTTTACCCTGTTTGGCATGGAGATAAGGAAAGATGCTATTTAGGAGAACCTAAGGGCATTGTTTTATTAATTTAATTTTTAAGATTAATTTTATTTATTTGAAAGTTACAGAGAGAGAGAGAGAGAGGCTGGGAAAGGTAGAGAGAGAGCTTCCATCAGCTCCCTAAATGGCTGCAGTGGCCTGTGCTGGGCCAGGCTGGTATCAGGAGTTTCATCCAGGTCTCCCACGTAAGTGGCAGGGACCAGAGGACCTGGACCATTTTGCCCTGCTTTCTCAGGTGCATTGGCAGGAAAGCTGGATTGGAAGTGAAGCAGCCAGGACTCAAACCAGTGCCCAAATTGGATGCTGGCATTGCAGGTGGAAGCTTAACACATTATACCACAACGCTGGCCCCTTGTTTTATTTCATAAGCTGAGAAATAAATATTTTTCTTTGTCTTTTTCTTCAGAAACCTTAAAACTTATTTTTGGGGGAACCAAAAAGTCTGAGTCGAATCATTTCTGATAGCTGAACAAAGTGTGTTGTAGTAAGCTTCTGCATTTCCCAAAGGTTAAGAGATCTATTGTTTGATGAGCATTTGCTCTGTGTCCGACCCAAGTGCTGGGCTGCTGACACACCCTCTCTCCTGCCTGTCTTCACAACAGGTGTGGGAGATAGGTTATACGGTAGCGTAGTGACTTACAGATGGGGAAAAGAAGACTCAGAGAGATTAAGAATTCCCATTTATGTGGTTTGGGCTTCAAGCCTTTTCACTATTTGATTTTGCCTTCTAAATCAGTTAATTGGCGACTGCCCTTCACCCTCAACCCTCCACACAAACTAGATGGTTGTTTGCCCTCTCTAAAAGAAATATATGTACATATGTGTCCTTGCTTTCTTTTGTAGTGGAAGGTTGGTGACAAATGTTGTGCCATTTGGTCGGAGGACGGCTGCGTCTACCCAGCTACAATTGCTTCAGTTGATTTTAAGAGAGAAACCTGTGTTGTGGTTTACACTGGATATGGAAACAGAGAAGAGCAAAATCTGTCTGATCTACTTTCCCCAACATCTGAAGTGGCTAATAACATAGAACACAATGCTCAGGAGGTAAGGGTGCAGACAGTCTCACTCCTGGAAGCAGAGGCTGGGTAAGAAATTAAACAGTTGTCAGTTTGAAGGTGTTAACATTTTCCTTAACGATACCTTTATAATAAAAATGCAATTTTTCTTTTTAAAGAATGAAAATGAAAGTCAAGTTTCTACAGATGAAAGTGAGAACTCCTCCAGGTCTCCTGGAAGTAAACCAAATAATATCAAGTCAAAAGCTCATCCTTGGAACTCCTTCCTCCCTCCGCCTCCCCCCATGCCAGGATCAGGAATGGGACCTGGAAAGGTAAACTTGCCTCCAAGAAGAGGCTGCTTCTTCCCCTTCTTCTTCTTCTTTCTTCTTTCTTCTTTCTTCTTCTTTCTTCTTTCTTCTTTCTTCTTCAACAGTGTATGCGGCATTTAACCCTTCCACTAACTGGTTGCTGTCCCATGAAACTTTTGTAGCTGTCTTTAGATGTTATGAATACATATTCTTTGAAAAGAAAATAAGTTAGTGACATAAAATAGTTTACGCTGAAAGACTCACCCAAGTACTCTTGTGGAGTATTAGGACTGATAAGTAAGCAAACTTACTTAAATTAGAAAGTATAACAATACTTTATCATTGGTGGAGTGATAGGTGGTCGTTCCCCATGTCACCTGCATATGATGTGTAACAGAAGAATACAGTATGTGTATCACATGGGTAAAGTCCTGAGGTGCTGTCAGATTATTTTCATTTATGGCTCTTTTTGTGACAAGTAAAAGAAATCAAACAGAAAAGATTTTTCTTACAGGCTAGGTTATGTCATGAAATCCGAAGGTATGTCACTATTATGTAAACCAGTGATGTCTGGGAAATCATACCTTGAGGTTATGGTATTCAAATAATAACTTTTAAAAATCAAGCATGAGTCATTATTACTTTTCCTTAAATTTTCTGCATTTGCTATCTTTTTTTTTTTTTTTTCCTTAAAGATTTATTTATTGAAGAGGCAGAGAGAGCTTCCATCCACAGCTTCACTCCCCAAATGCCTGCAACACCCACGCCCGGGCCAGGCCAGTGCCAGGAACTAGGAACTCCATCTTGGTCTTCCACAAGGGTGGCAGGGGCCCAAGTACTTGGACCATCTTCCACTGCCTTCCCAGTGCATTAGCAGGAAGTTGCATCAGAAGCGGAGTAGCTGGGACTTGAACCAGCACAGCAAGGAGGAGCTTAAGCCACTTCACTTAAGTGCCAACCCCTGTGATTGTTTTTTATTGAAGTTTACGTTGTATGAAAGTTTGTTGAATCTAAAATGATCAAGGGGCAAGTGTTAGATACAGTAGTTAAGATGTCACTTGGGATGCCTGCATCCCATATTGGTGTACTGGGTTTGAACCTTGGCTCCACTCCTGATTTCAGCTCCCTCCTATTGTGTACCCTGGAAGGCAGCAGGTAATGGCCCAAGTACTTGAGTCACTGCCACCCACGTGGGACCCCACATTGATTCCAGGTTCCTGGCTTCAGGCTGGCCCAGTTCTAGCAGGTGTGGGCATTTAGAGAATGAGCTAGCAGAGGGAGAATCACAATCTGTCTCTTTATCTGTTTCCCTGTCTTTCAAATAAAATAATAGGTAAATGAAATTGAAGTGATCAAACCTTTAAAGATATATCATGCGTCATTGATCTCAGGGTGTTGATTTTTGTTAGGTGTGAGTGTATCAGTTTTAAATGTGCTCTAAGTTAACACATTTAACTTAGGGCTCCCATAAAAAGATAATATAACATAAGTAGTCAAAATATAGAGCATATAATCTTTTATGATTAAAATATTTTTGCTAAATCCAATCTCTGATTTACTAGTTAATTACAGATCTTTGTTTTTGCTTGCTGCATGTTTACATAGAAAGGAAATGAGAAAATCTAGAGGTTATCTATTTGAGTCTATTTGACTTGAGGACTTGGTATATGAAATTCCATTTACTTTGGTTAATATATATTTATTTACTTCAGAAAGTTCATAGGAAATTGAGTTAAAAGATGCTTATTTTGGCACACAGAATTTTCAAACCTATTCATGAAAAGGGATCTTCAAAACATTCATGGAAAATATTATGAAAAAAATGTGGATGGATTTCAAAAAATTTTTTCACCAAAATAAACATCTTTTCACTCATTTTTCCATGAAGTTTTGAAGTACCCTTTTTATAATATAGATATTGTTCTAGGTAATTATTTTTATCCTTTTGGTTTTGAATTGATATTAGTGAATTGTTTTTCTTTTGAAATATTCTTTATAGCCAGGTCTAAAATTCAGTGGGCCGCCACCACCGCCACCACCACTGCCACCCCTACCACCCCACTTCCTGTCATGCTGGCTGCCCCCATTTCCTTCTGGGCCACCAGTAAGTACAAAAGAACTCAGATGAAACTGCTTTCATATGTCATTTGGGTTTGAGCCTAAAACAGAGGAATGGAAAATAGCATCTTAGACCATCCCTGGGTCTTGAATCTTTTTTTTTGAGAGTTATTTTATTTATTTGAAAGGCAGAAAGAGAGAAGTCATCCATCTGCCCATCCACTCCTCAAATGGCCTCAACAGCCAGGGCTGGGCCAGGCAGAAGTGAGGAGCCAGGAACTCGGAACCTCATCCTGGTCTCCAGTGTGGGTGACAAGGGCCATCTTCCAATGCCTTCTCAGTCTGATTTAGCAGTAAGCTGCATCAGAAGCAGGGCAGCCAGGACTCGAACCGGCACTCCAGTAGCCGGCCCCATGGGCTGAATTCTAATGGGTGAAAATTTGAACTCAGCACTAAAAAATGCTTTGTTTTAAATGCTACTGTGTTACCCAGAACCAGTGCTCTTAGAGCCCCAACTCTGAGCTTTTCACCGCTTGCTTCTTTCCTGGCAGAAGTTGATATCCATTCTATTGGGAGCTAGTTCTTGTTAGAAAGGACTTAATATGTGCTATATATACAGGATTAATGTTTTACCCTTCTGGATATACTTGGATGTTAACTTCTGATCATGCAAAGCGAATCTTTTAGTGGCAGATTTTTAGGTATTGGCAGTAGACAAAAGGATGCCTTTTGGCACTGTGTTGGGGGCAGATGTTCTACCCAAGACCTTGACTTAGCATCTGCCTTGAAATGCATTCTGGTGCCTGTGTTTGTTTTAAGAAAAAGCAAGTGTTTATGCTCGGTCTTTAACTCATAGTTCCATCATGCAGCAGGAAAATAATGTTATCATACCTGAATGTCTAAAAACTTTGTCACCTATTGTCCTTTAATTCCTGTTAATTAATTTAGATGATATTTTGTTGTTTCTGCTTGACTTTCTCCAGATGTTGCCTTTTTATTTATGTATTTGAAAGGCAGAGTAACACTGGTTCACTCCTCAAATGGCTGCAACAGCCAGGTCTGGGCCAGGCCAAAGCCAGAATCCAGGAACTCCTCCTTGGTCTCCCACATGAGTAGCAGAGGCCCAAGCACTTAGTTCATCTTCATTGGCTTCCCAGGTGTGTTAGCAGGAAGCTGGATAGAAAGCAGAGTGGCTGGACTTTAGCTGGCCTTCCCATATGGCATGCTGGGATTGTAAGCAGTGGCTTAACCTCTTGTACCACTACACTTGCCCTCTGCATGTTGCTTTTTTTTTTTTTTTTTTTTAATTAGGAAAATGATGTGTGAAATAGGAAAACATACAATTAACACTTCAGCATTCTCTATATAAAATGAATGTTCAGACTTCACATTTTTGTTTACTTGACTTAAAGTTTATCTTTTTCCATTTCTAGGTAATTCCCCCACCACCTCCCATATGTCCAGATTCTCTTGATGATGCTGATGCCTTGGGAAGTATGTTAATCTCTTGGTACATGAGTGGCTATCATACTGGCTACTACATGGTAAGAGAATACTCTGCAGTTTTTCTGTAGTTATGTGACTTTTGTGATTGTAAAATAACTTTTGTTATGTAGATCCTAAGAGTTGAAAACTGCCTTGAAGTTTAAAAAAATACAACTATCTAAATTTCAAATTACTCTTTTTTCTAAGTGCAATTGTAATTCATTTAAAAAAATCTTTGCCATTCGATTATTTTGATTTTCCTTTTTTTTTTTTTTAAGATTTATTTATTTGTTTGAAAGGTAGATTAGAAAGGGAGAGATGGAGAGAGATCACCCGTCTGCTTATTCACTCCTCAAGTGGCCGCACCAGCTGGAGCTAGACCAAACCAAAGCCAGGAGGCTGGAGCTTTTCCAGGTTTCCCATGTGGATGCAGGGGCCCCAGCACTTGGGCCATCTTCCACTGCTTTCACAGGCACATTAGCAGAGACCTGGACTGGGAGTGGAGCAGCCAGGTCTGGAACCCGTGCCCTTATGGGATGCCAGTGCTGCAGTCAGGAGCTTAACATGCTATGCCACGGTGCCAGCCCCTAATTTTACATTTCTTTTTAACGAGTTATTTATTTATTTATTTCAAAGACAGTTACAGAGAGGCAGAGGCAGAGAGAGGTCTTCCACCTGCTGGTTCACTCTCCAAATGGCTGCAACAGCCGGAGCAGTGTTGATCCGAAGCTAGGAGCCAGGAACTTCTTCTGGGTCTCCCATGCAGGTGTGGCCCGTGTACTTGGGCAATCTTCTACTGGCTTTCCCATGCCATAGCAGAGAGCTGGATCAGAAGTAGAGCAGCCAGGACTCAAACCGGCACCCATATGGAATGCCAGCTGTGTAGACCGGAGCCTTAGCCTGCTGCGCCACAGCGCCAGCCCCAATTTTATATTTTTTAATTCAGGTGAATTATTTGTCTAAATTATTTTTAAGACTCAGTAGTTTCTCTGCTTGGACTTGAAATAAGAATGCATTATGTGTTTTCATTTTAGTAGGGAATGCTAAAAGAAGGCATAATCTTTTGCAAAATAAATTTTTTTATGTTCTTAGAGAAAGTTCTGGCATAATATCCATCAAACTAGACCTCAGGAACTGAGGATTCAAATTAACATTTTATACATCCCTCTACTGTAGACCTATTATGTTATTTTAGGCGAAATCCTAAAATTATTTGTAAAAGATAGTGATTGTGCCATGATAAAATTGTGATATTATAGGTCTTTGAATTTATAGTTAGTCAATATAGAAGAAAATAAACAACTGAGTTGCAGGTATAATTTTTTAAGTGTATTATGAATGCATTCCCCTATGAATATGCTAATTTAAAGCTACTCTTGAGTGTTATATAACTATGGCATATTTATGTATAAAGAACTTTGTCAGGGCCAGCACTTTGGTGCAGCAGGTTAAAGCCCTGGCCTGCAGTGCCATCATCCCATGTGAGCGCTGGTTCAAGTCCTGGTTGTTCCACTTATCCAGCTCGCTGCTGATGTGCCTGAGAAGGCAATGGAAGATGGCCCAAGTTCTTGGGCCCGCCCTCCCATGTGTAACTGTGCCTTTCAAATAAATAAATAAATACTTTTTAAAAATTGTGACAAAAGTATTCTTAGGCCATTGTATATTATTTGATAAAAATAAGTTTTAAGTGGACTGTGAATATTGTTGGACTTAGGGAAAGAAAATAAACTTTACAATTACAGTTTAATACTTGTTTACTTTGGACCTACTATTGAAGCAGAAGACTGTTAACTTATTTTCTGATGACATTTGCTAAGTAAAGTTAGTAAAATGTCTTTTGGGAACATGTTTGAGATGTGTATAAAGTGCATATGTAAGGGCTGGCGCAGCGGCTCAATAGGTTAATCCTCTGCCTGCGGTGCCGGTACCCTGGGTTCTGTCCCGGTTGCTCCACTTCCAGGCCAGCTCTCTGCTGTGGCCAGGGAGTGCAGTGGAGGATGGCCCAAGTGCTTGGGCCCTGCACCCGCATGGGAGACCAGGAGAAGCACCTGGCTCCTGGCTTCTGATCAGCGCAGTGCGTCAGCTGCAGTGCACCAGCCGCAGCGGCCATTGGTGGGGGTGAACCAACGGAAGGAAGACCTTTCTCTCTTTCTCTCTCTCTCTCACTGTCCACTCTGCCTGTCAAAAAAAAATAAAAGAAAATAAAGTGCATATGTTGTTCTTTTGACTTCCTTTATTTTTCCTGCAGGGCTTCAAGCAAAGTCAGAAAGAAGGAAGATGCTCACATTTCAATTAAGGAGTAAGTGCATCGTTAGAAAGTGAACCTTTGCTATAAATGCTGTGGTTTGTGGAAAACAGATGTTTTGGTAATTTAAGAAACGGAAATATGAAAAAGTTGAAAAGTTAACGCACAGCAATAGTAAAGATACGTTAATGACAAAACTAGAAAATAAAAGATTGACCTGTACCCCACTAGTATTTTGAACAAATACTTGCTGGTTGGGTGGCTGTTTGGGTGGAAAAACATTTTTATAATGTGTAGATCCTTAGAATCTGAAGACGCCTGGTCACTGGTAGTCACACTGCCAGACTTGCTTTTTGATTTGTAATACAGTGTGCAGTATGCTGTGTTACCAATGAAGTGCTCTTGTCAACATGACTGTGCCAGAGTTTAGTTGATCCTTTAGAACTGATTTCCCGTTTTTAGGCCATCCTGGGGCTAATGCAACAAGTTAAATGACAACATTAAAGAAATGATTGGATAGATCCAGAATGTTGTAGAAAAAAATATGTGTCTGGAAACAAAAATGAAGTAGAAGGGAAACTTGTAGATTAAATGTTAGATAAGAGATGTCATAGCCAAATATAATGTGGAAGCTTGATTGGACTGCTTGGGGAAGAGGCCATTGTAGGGACCAGCAATGTGGCACAGAAGGCTAAGCCTCTGCCTGCGGTGCTCACATCCCATGTTTGTGCCAGTTGGAGTCCCGGTTGCTCCACTTCCAATCCCTGTTAATGCTCCTGGGAAAGCAGCAGAGGATGACCCAAATCTTTGGGGCCCTGCACCCACATGGAAGACCAGGAAGAAACTCCTGGCTCCTGGCTTCAGATTGACGCAGCTGCAGCTGTTGAGGCCATTTAGGTAGTGGACTAGTGGTTGTAAGATTGATCTCTCTATATTACTGCCTTTCAATAAATAAGGTTTTTTTTTTTTTTTTTTAATAGAAGCCATTGTAAAGACTTGGCAAGGGAGCACTGAGGGAATTTGAGTATGGATTGGGCTTTAAATGACAGTTATTGCTAGGACAAGAACCACGTAGTCTGTAGAAGAATGTCTTAATTTGCACACTGAAGGATTTAGGAGTGAGGTGTGTTAGTGTTTCCAATATATTTTGAAAAGATTTAGCAAAATGTATGTGTGAGTTTATTATGCATTTGTGGGCTAAATGTTAATGAATCTAATAGTGTGTATGTGGACGTTCACTATACTATTTTTTCTATTTTATGTATGTTTAAAAGTCCCCAGTAAGCAGGAAGTAGCCAGAGAGATTCATCATTGCCCCCTTTCCTATCATCAAAAGGTTGGGATGATAGCTTTGGGATCCGCAAGTAGGGAAGGCCTGTACTTCCAGGAATGGAGAGTCCCTACCTGTACTTCCAGGGAAGAAAAGTCCTTGTCAAGGGTGCCTAAAGGTCAACCAATGAGGATCAGACCCGCCTCAACCTTTAACCCCCATGCCCTGAATCTATAAAAGGAGCCCTCCCAATCTTTGACGCGACTTACCTGGCCCCCACTCTGTTGGGACTGAGGAACCTCGCCCAGGAGCGGAATCCCAATAAAAGCTTGTGAATTAAAAAAAAAAAAAAAAGTATATAGGCCGGCGCCGCGGCTCACTAGGCTAATCCTCCGCCTTGCGGCGCCGGCACACCGGGTTCTAGTCCCAGTCGGGGCGCCGGATTCTGTCCCGGTTGCCCCTCTTCCAGGCCAGCTTTCTGCTGTGGCCAGGGAGTGCAGTGGAGGATGGTCCAAGTGCTTGGGCCCTGCACCCCATGGGAGACCAGGAAAAGCACCTGGCTCCTGGCTCCTGCCATTGGATCAGCGCGGTGCGCCGGCCGCAGCGTGCTGGCCGCGGCGGCCATTGGAGGGTGAACCAACGGCAAAGGAAGACCTTTCTCTCTGTTTCTCTCTCTCACTGTCCACTCTGCCTCTCAAAAAATAATAAAAAAAATTTTTTAAAAAAAGAGAAAACCACTGTTATTTTAAAAAAAGTATATAATAAAAATACTTAGCTTTTTTAAAAATTAGAAATTAGCAGCCAGTGCTGCAACTCAATAGGCTAATCCTTTGCCTGCGGCGCCGGCACACCGGGTTCTAGTCCCGGTTGGGGCACCGGATTCTGTCCCCGTTGCCCCTCTTCCAGTCCAGCTCTCTGCTGTGGCCCGGGAGTGCAGTGGAGGATGGCCCAAGTCCTTGGGCCCTGCACCCCATGGGAGACCAGGAGAAGCACCTGGCTCCTGCCGGATCAGTGCAGTGTGCCAGCCGCAGCAGCCATTGGAGGGTGAACCAACGGAAGGAAGACCTTTCTCTCTGTCTCTCTCACTGTCCACTCTGTCAAAAAAAAAAAAAAAAATTAGCTATGTGTTTGTCATTGTATTCCTTTTTTTGCATATTATTTTACACTTTTGGCCCATATTCATGTATTTTTTTAAATGAATGCCATCAAGCATACTGTGTGTGTCCACTTAATGTCATATTTTCTATACCTTTATCTATTCTTCCTGCCAGACTATTTGCCTTTATACTCATTATGTGCCACTATTCCTTTAGTGCAGGAGGTTTCGCTATTCTGGGTAACATTACAGTGAACACCTTTCATACATGAAATAATTTTTGTTTCTGTTCTGTCATAATCTTAGGATAAATTTCTGTATTATGATTTTGTTTAGAGATTGTAGATATTATATTTCTTAGTGGATTATATCAGTGCTTCCATGAAAAGCAAATTTTTTTTATTTTTTTGATAAGAGGAAGGAATATATTTCCAGGAGCTGGCATCTTGGGGAAAGAGACATCTCCTTATCTAAAATGTGCTTTTTCCTGAAAAGCAAATTTTTACAAATCCTGTTTTTTCCATTTTCAGAATGGGAGATACACTGACCTGGGAAGAGTTCTATTATTATTACTATTATTATATAAAGCATCACATTTAAACCTAGAATTATCCACATTTCATTCTTTGGTTAAAGTCAACTTCATTTGATGAAAGTTCTTTACCAGTGCTGGGTTTTACAGCCAAGACTAAAAGAGTGAATAGAAAAATTGGGCAGAGGATGAATGAGTGAGACTCATTCTTTAGGCAGAGAATGCACATGGTCAGAGGCACCAGGGTATAGTACGATCAGAAGTACAAGGCAGCCCGGTGTCATCACCACGTTTCATACTACCCACCTTCTCAGCCACCACCTCCGTCCATGTAACACCCCTCTCTGAACTTTCTGGCTTTTCACATTGTTGTCTTCATTGCTTATATATCAGTCTCTCCTTTGTTGTTAGTGGAAAGGGACTACATCTTAATCTTTACTGTGTCTGCAGTATCTGTATCTTTTGAAGTTAAGGATGGGCTTACAACATAGCCTGGAGAGAATGGCAAAGAAGAAAGGAAATGGTAAATGGAAGAGGACTTTCAGAGTTGTTTAAAGATCAATCATTGGGGCCAGCTTTGTGGCATGGCGGGTAAAGTTGCCGCCTGCTATGCCGGCATCCCATATAGGTGCCAATTCAAGTATCAGCTGCTCCGCTTCTGACCCAGCTCTTTGCTAACGGCTGGGAGAAGAAGCAGAAGATGGCCCAAATGCTTGGGCCCTGGCACCAACATGGGAGACCCAGAAGAAGCTCCTGGATTTCACCTGGCCCAGCCCTGGCCATTGCAGCCATCTGGGGCATGAACAAGTGGATGGAAGATCTCTCTTGCTGTGCTCCGCCATCTTTTGCCCCACTCCCTGTAACTCTTTCTAATAATAAATATTTAAAAAGTCAGTCATTTATTCATCATGTAGTGGGTTAGGCATTATTCGCTTTCTTGTTAGTTTTAAGGATTTTTAGTCAACTATGCATTAGGTGAATGGTTTTGAGAATTTAGTTATATAATACTGTTTGACCTAAAGTGAGTTTCAGGTACCATTTAATTTAAATACTGAGTAAGTATTAGTACAGACCAAGCTACCAGATTGTATGTCTAGACTAATCCTAGTAATAAAGGCAAAACAGCTAGTTTTCTGGCTTTCATTATAGTGATTGTCCTTGCAGTTACAAGGAATTCCATGGCCTGGGACCAGCACTGTGGTGTAGAAGGTTAAGCCTCTGCCTGCAGTGCCGGTATCCCATATGGGCCCCGGTTCAACTCCCAGCTGCTCCACTTCCAATCCAGCTCCCTGCTAATGGGCCTGGGAAAGCAGCAGAAGATGGTCCCAGTACTTGGGCCCCTGTACCCATATGGGAGACCCAAAATAACCTCTTGGTACTGGTTTCAGCCTGGCCCAGCCCCTTTCAGCCATTTTGGGAGTGAATCAACAGATGGAAGACCTTTCCCTCTCTCTTTTCTCTGTATCTCTGCGTTTCAAATAAATAAATAAATCCTTAAAAAGAAAATTCCATGGTCTGTTTTACAGCCACTGCAGTGCCTATATTCAGAAGACACAGGAAAGGGGGTGTGTTCAGAGAGCCTTCCTTAAGGGATCAGCCAGAGATTACTTTATCTGAGTCTTATTGTAAGTTTAGCTTTTCTTCATGCTTGCTGTTAACAGAAGTAAACTTTAGGGTTTTTTGTTTTTAAGAATTATTTTATTTATTTGAAAGACAGCTACAGAGAGAGGTAGAGCCAGAGTGAGAGAGGTCTTCCATTCTGCTGGTTTACTCCTCTAATGACCACAATGGCCAGAGCTGAGCTGAATAAAGCCAGGAGCCAGGAGCTTCTTCCATGTCTTCCATGTGGGTGCAGGGGCCCAAGGACTTGGGCCATCTTCTACTGCTTTCCCAGGCCACAGCAAAGAACTGGTTTGGAAGAAGAGCAGCTGGGACTTGAACCGGTGCCCATATGGGATGCCAGTGCTGCAGGCTGAGGCTTTAACCTACACCACAGCACTGGCCCCCAAGGGTTTTTGTTTATTTTTAATCAACTTAAGTCTTATGGTTTTTAAAACTCTTGGTGAGTAGAAAAATAATGGATTCAATTAAAAAGTCAAATTCTCCTGCTGCTGTGGAGGTACATATTTTATATACACCCGTCAATCAAGATGAAG